GTGTCTGTGAGAAATACAAGTCTTATCTCATCCTACCCCCTAATGTTCCTCACATGAATCACAGCTTGTTATGTGAAACAATTTATATCAGTACAGTACAAATCCATTATGTTTAATCATTAATGCATTCCTTCTAAGCTAGTCATCACATCTAGTTGGTCGCCCACATCCCCCGGATAGACTGGTCCACGAGGCATCTCATCCTGTTCCGGTCGCCACCGACCACTCTTCAGCCCAAACCACCATCCCAGACCACCTACCAGTCCTCACCTCTTCCCCAGGTCCCACACTCCATCACCGGCTCAGACCTGGCAGGCGTTCCCCGGGAGTATTGGGATCTGGGGGAGGTGTTTAGTAGGAGGCGTGCCAAGGGCCTACCTCCTCACAGGCCTTATGACTGCGCTATCGATCTCCTGCCGGGCGCCATGCCTACACGAGGGTGATTGCTTTCCATGTCCTGGCCGACGACGCTGGCCATGAGGGACGACCCCATTTTCCCCAATGCCCCGATGGCTGCCCCAGTTTCGTGGGGAATTGATAGACTGGTCAGAGCAGCGCTAGGGCGGGAGTCCGATCCGGGCAGAGGCCCATCGGGGAGGATGTACGTACCCAAGGCTGCGCGCTCGCAACTGCTTCAGTGGGCGCACGCGTCTGACCTCACCAGCCACCCAGGGGGCGCCAGGACGTTGGAGTTTACTTTAAGTTTGGGAATGCTCAATATTTAGCAAATGCTCTGCAATAGTGCCAAGATTCACTATAGAGATGCTTCGCCTAATCACGCTAGCTTTTTCAAGAGTGCCATCATGTGGGTGCTAGCAAGCCGACTGCATGCCATAAACTTCCTGTTCTGACAGGTGGTAGTATAATCATATCATTACACTAGGTAGTGCTAGGTATCAACAGCCAATCCAGCAGGGGCTGGAAGCTACAGTAAGCTACGATTGGTCAATTGCACTGCGATATCAATTCATGCTCCCACATCATGTTCGCATCGCCCAACAGTCCCCTGCCCACTTTGCTTCTCATCGCTTTTCTTCCATTGAAAATTAATGGCTTCTGTTGTTTCATCGCCCGACGTCAGCCGTAGTGGACATAGGCCATTTAGTCTAGCTTAGATTTGATTTACATTCCAATTACATTACATGTGAGGTGCAGTGGCGGCTCCTGAAAAAATTCTCAGGAGGGGCAATTTTTCTGATGATTTAGGTGACCTACACACATTTTAAAAAAGATATGTCCAGCAACAACATGAAGACAGGGGCAGCATATAAGTCAATACCAGAAGCATTTATTGACTGATCTGGGGAGATGGATTCCAGTTTCTGTGACAGATTATAAATAATCTCTGATGCCTTTGTTATATTAGCTTTTGGTTGAATGTACTGTCGTAGTAAATATATAATGTTATAGCTTGGTCTGACTAAAATCTTGTGCATGACCCATTTTGTGTTGGGCCTTTGTATTCAATACAATGAACAAGAGTCCTATCTTGTCAGCCTTGTCAGCAGGTGGCTAAGGATAACACCCACGCCATAGGTCTCTCAGTTCTTCCAACTCACGAGTTCTTGCCCTGAGGACACACACACACACACCCACACACACACACACACACACACACACACACACACACATCATCACTGATAAACACACACACACACACACACACACACATCATCACTGATAACAAACACACACACACACACACACACACACACACACACACTGATAACAAACACATACACACACACACACAAATCCTCTTCTCTTAGGCTGAACATCTGAAGACAGAGAACCCGACTCAGAGCCAATGCAACAGTGACACTAGCCTGGAGGTGACCTCGCCCAACTCATCAGGACCAATCAGAAGATCAGAACTACTAGATTCAACCTACTTCATTTTATTGTATAAAATGTCAGCACACAATGTTTAGGGGCTCTTCTGATAAACTCCCTACGAGTTTGACGAACGGGTCCGTGCACGCGATTCCAGATATCTTTACCTCTGAATAAACTGCCTTATATTATACAATTATCCACCTTGTCCAAAAGTCTCTACTTGGTCTCCGTTCTCCAGTAAACTTGTTTTATCAACAATAGTAAGGTTCAATGACACAGAAAGCAGTTCAATGTCGGGGTACAGAGTCGCTCTCTTACCAGGATCGCGGTCCGCTCTGACCAGGGTGAAGCCGGCCGGCTCCACCTCTCTGTCCGGGACTCTGTCATCCAGCCAAGTCTCCCAGCTGTATTGGGATTCCGCTGCCAGCAGCGTTTTCATTATTTAGTCCGTTCGTAGCGGGTATGTACACGATCAACAAGATCAGTCCAAAACCGAAGATCAGTCCAAAGCAGAATGTTTGCAGAATGTTTGTAAACTAAGTCTACAAATTAAAAACATAAAATAACGCCACACTGCAGGTCGCAACATAGACGCTGCTAGCCGCCATTGTCTTAGTTACGTTCAACGTTACGTCACGTATGACGAAAGCGCGTAAGTGCATGCCCACAGACACCCATAGAGAATGTATTGAAAGCTTAGAAATGTGAAAAAAATAGATTTTACATGACAGGCTATGAGAGACTTCTGGGCGATTTTCAACCTGACTGAAATCGCCCAAAAAACGGGCGGGGCCATTTGAAGCACGACTTTAGCCTGATTTGACATTTAGTGGCTGGCAGATCAGACGTGAACACTGATAACTGCTGTTGCCGTGATATAATTGATTAGAAAAAAAATCCCTTCCTTTTCCCGTTTGGCAGTGCGTCGCCCATATCGCCCTATTGAACAAGCCGTCCCTGGTGAGGTGTACATTTCATTAGACTGTTAGGCTTTTCATAAGTTCAATCGTGGTCATATGATCTGTTATTTGTTTGATTGAACGATGTGCTTATGTTCATTCAAAAGACTGGACTACAGTGTATAGTTTGATTTAAAGCTTGCTTCTTTAATTTGAATATTTGTGACTGACACCCCCATAGGTCAGCAGTGCACACCTTTTCAGTATGCTACTGGGTTGTTGTGGAGGGGCACGCTCCTTAGTAAGTGCTGTATAAATGCAAATAAATAAAACATGAACACAAATCATGCCAGGCATTCACTACCAAAGCAAGTGAAATCACTGCAACACTTAAAAGAGCTGAAGTCAGTTTCAGAATGGGTCGCAAGAAATAAGTTAGTCCTAAATATTTATAAACCTAAAAGCATTGTATTTTGGACAAATCCTTCACTAAACTCCAAACCACAACTAAATCTAAAAATACTCCAATGGTTATAATTATTATAATAGCATACCTATTATTGGACTCCTATTAGGCTATAGGCAACCCCCTCTATCATTGCCACATTGATACTAAATTGACCAGTGTGGGGATCTAGATGTGATACCTAGCTTAGAAAGAATGATTAAGCATAAAAGGTTTGTACTGTACTGATATTAATTGTTTCACATAACAAGCTGTGATTCATGTGAGGAACGTTAGTGGGTAGGATGAGATAAGAACTTGTATTTCTCACAGACACATACACACTGCCTCTTTGTTGTCTGTGAACCGTCCAAGGACGTAGGTACATAGAGTACAGTGGAACGGTGTCTATGGGTGCTGACTTGAGACGGGTATGACGATAACAACTTATGCCTGGCAACAGTGTGCAACAGTGGAGCGCCAAGGGGCTGGGACCAGCCTGTGCGCCAACGGATTGGCTGAGTAAGTCTAAACCACGCTCAGTCTCCACTCTGATTGGCCAGCAGGGAGCGGGAACTATCTCTGTCAGAGTATTTTAAGAAGAACTCATAACAATGGCTTAGTTGTCTGAGTGCCCTGCGTGGTATTTCAGTGGACCCGTATATACGAACATCATATTTACCATTGAAGTGTTTGCATTAATTAAAATACTAGTCTATTTTAGAAGACATGTATTGACCTCTTTTGTTCCTAATACCAGATTTGAATTGACGCAACTTAACACCAGATAAACTAGTCCTCATTGTTATGCCTCTGTCAGAAACAGAGGTTTACTGTTTGTATTACTGTTAACTGAGATCTATTTGAAGGGACATTAATCATTGGAATAAAGAGCCAGGATAAAAAAAAAATCTAAACGTTTTAATGACATGTCACTTTCACTTTCCTTTTAGATAAAAGGCTACAGGCACATGTCTTTCTCATAATTCAATAGCTCTCAATAATCCAATACTTTTAGAGAACTTGCAAATGCTTCACATTGAAATAATAACTGAACATGTTTATAGATTCGTTATTAAATGGTTTATGAAAAAGCAAAAATGTACAGCTGTCAATCTAGCTATTTGTGGAATGAGGAAGAGCGACAGGAGTTGACCGATTCCGCCTGTAGCATTTGCGTGGACCATCCTGTTTCGCAGGACTCGAGTTGACAGATGATGATCTCGAAGAAATCAGACAAATCTCCCGCTGAAACGTAAGTTACAATTTTATCCATGGTCTATTCAGCATAACGTGTTTACTTTTACAGATTCAAAGTTGTATGCAGGTGTCACAGTTACCTTTTGAGGCTTATCGAGACGTTTTGGATTCACCTGTTTCTCACATGCTCTCTATGCAAAATTCAGTGTATGACAATTATGCAATCACAACCCTTAGCTATCTCTTTGCCTTGTCTAAACTTGTTTTACTTCATCAGGTTTATATAGACTCACTTTGCACAAAAGGTTCAATACTGATTTTTTTTTAACATACTAAATATGTTGTATTTTTCCAGGTCAATTGTATTGAAATTTGTGATAAACTTTGGATTGTATTCATACATTTCCCTTTTTATGTGATGAATTGATTTGTATTCCTTGACATCCCTGAGGAAATGAGAGTAAACCATGTGAGTGTGGCATGATGTGGTGTCAGACTTGGATCTGTGCCAGTGCATTTTCAGACTTGTTTTGCCCTAACAAAACATGTATCAACCCCGACAAAATGTCCATTAATCCACATAATAATTCACATTTCCTGTTGCTGCAGGATTATTTTCCTACTGTAGCAAATTGGCTCAAATTAAGATCCTACAACTGTATGAGTGCCCGGCAGCTGGTCCTGAGGCAGAGAGCGGAGCTGCTGCATGCCCTGTGCTGTGGTGGCTCTTCTGAGGGTCTGGACAGTGTATTGGACATACTCCTGTCCTGGGGCATGCTGTTCTGGGAGGACTACCAGAATGTACGGGTACCAGGCCGGGCTTTGTGTGCCAACACCAGGGAGCTACTAGATCTGGTGTACACCAAGGGAGATGAAGCCTGTCGGCTGCTCCTGGCTGCTTTCAAACAGGTAAGATACAGTGATGGAAAAACGTATTTGATCCCCTGCTGATTTTGTACATTTGCCCACTGACAAAGAAATGATCAGTCTATAATTTTAATGGTAGGTTTATTTGAACAGTGAGAGACAGAATAACAACAACAAAAATCCAGAAAAACGCATGTAAAATGTTTTATAAATTGATTTGCATTTTAATGAGGGAAATAAGTATTTGACCCCCTCTCAATCAGAATGATTTCTGGCTCCCAGGTGTCTTTTATACAGGTAACGAGCTGAGATTAGGAGCACACTCTTAAAGGGAGTGCTCCTAATCTCAGCTTGTTACCTGTATAAAAGACACCTGTCCACAGAAGCAATCAATCAATCATATTCCAAACTCTCCACCATGGCCAAGACCAAAGAGCTCTCCAAGGATGTCAGGGACAAGATTGTAGACCTACACAAGGCTGGAATGGGCTACAAGACCATTGCCAAGCAGCTTGGTGAGAAGGTGACAACAGTTGGTGCGATTATTCGCAAATGGAAGAAACACAAAATAACTGTCAATCTCCCTCGGCCTGGGGCTCCATGCAAGATCACACCTTGTGGAGTTGCAATGATCATGATAACGGTGAGGAATCAGCCCAGAACTACACGGGAGGATCTTGTCAATGATCTCAAGGCAGCTGGGACCATAGTCACCAAGAAAACAATTGGTAACACACTACGCCGTGAAGGACTGAAATCCTGCAGTGCCCGCAAGGTCCACCTGCTCAAGAAAGCACATATACAGGGCCGTCTGAGGTTTGCCAATGAACATCTCAATGATTCAGTGGAGAACTGGGTGAAAGTGTTGTGGTCAGATGAGACCAAAATCGAGCTCTTTGGCAACAACTCAACTCGCCGTGTTTGGAGGAGGAGGAATGCTGCCTATGACCCCAAGAACACCATCCCCACCGTCAAACATGGAGGTGGAAACATTATGCTTTGGGGGTGTTTTTCTGCTAAGGGGACAGGACAACTTCACCGCATCAAAGGGACGATGGACGGGGCCATGTACCGTCAAATCTTGGGTGAGAATCGCCTTCCCTCAGCCAGGGCATTGAAAATGGGTCGTAGATGGGTATTCCAGCATGACAATGACCCAAAACACACGGCCAAGGCAACAAAGGAGTGGCTCAAGAAGAAGCACATTAAGGTCCTGGAGTGGCCTAGCCAGTCTCCAGACCTTAATCCCATAGAAAATCTGTGGAGGGAGCTGAAGGTTCGAGTTGCCAAACGTCAGCCTCGAAACCTTAATGACTTGGAGAAGATCTGCAAAGAGGAGTGGAACAAAATCCCTCCTGAGATGTGTGCAAACCTGGTGGCCAACTACAAGAAACGTCTGACCTCTGTGATTGCCAACAAGGGTTTTGCCACCAAGTACTAAGTCATGTTTTGGAGAGGGGTCAAATACTTATTTCCCTCATTAAAATGCAAATCAATTTATAACATTTTTGACATGCGTTTTTCTGGATTTTTTTGTTGTTATTCTGTCTCTCACTGTTCAAATAAACCTACCATTAAAATTATAGACTGATCATGTCTGTCAGTGGGCAAACGTACAAAATCAGCAGGGGATCAAATAGGATAGAAGGATTACTCTTCACAGGTGATGCCGTTCTAAAGGATGTATGAGCATGTTTTGAACTTACTCATTACTGATGTATGTACAAAACATTAGGAACACCTTCCTAATATTGAGTTGCACCCCCGTTTGCCCTCAGAACAGCATCAATTCGTTGGGGCATGGACTCTACAAGGTGTCGAAAGCGTTCCACAGGGATGCTGGTCCACGTTGACTCCAATGCTTCCCACAGTCCTTTGGGTGGTGGACCATTCTTGATACACACGGGAAACTGTTGAGCGTGAAAAGCAGTGTTGCAGTTCTTGACACACTCAAACCGGTGCGCCTGGCACCTACTACCATACCCCGTTCAAAGGCACTTAAATCTTTTGTCTTGCCCATTCACCCTCTGAATGGCACACACATACCCAATCCATGTCTCTATTATCTCAAGGCTTAACAATAATTATTTAACCTGCCTCCTCCCCTTCATCTACACTGATTTGAAGTGGATTTAACAAGTGGCATCAATAAGAGATCATAGCTTCACCTGGATTCACCTGGTCAGTCTATGTCATGGAAAGAGCAGGTGTTCTTAATAAATGTATATCTTGTCTTGTTAAAAAAGCCACTAGGCAAAAATGTTTAGATATACAAATCAAATAGTTGCCATGTCCCAAAGATACAGATCATTAAATTGTATTATTGTTTTTCTTGCTTTCAACCAGGTCCTCCCTGAGGCCCAAAGAGCTGGCCTCTCTTTTGGAAACGGTTGTACTGCGGATCTAGATGATACAAGAGAAGATACAAAAGAACTCCATGGTACAGCTATCCAGACCCTCCAGACAGACAGGCCTGGTCTGGTGAGGAAGCTAAGGGACCGTATTGAAGGAGCTCTGGAGGTCCTGCTGGATACTGGCAGCTTTACGCCATCTGATTGCGATGAAGTGCAGCTACCTGTGTACACCCCCTCACAACAGGTAACCAACCGCACCCTGAGAGCAGTATAAGAGCTTTATTTAGCTCTACATGCCTGGTATGATGTAGAGTACAATGAATTACACAACTTCCCTGTCCCTCTTGGAATTAACTTTGAATCCAAACAGGTCATGCTGTCCTTAGACATTTATGTAATTAGACATGTTATTTAGGTTCAGATAGTAGGGGTGACTATGAATTAACTGACTTCTTTGTCATGTAGGCAAGACGTCTACTGGACCAGGTCAGATCGAAGGGGGAGCTTGCAGCAAAGGTCCTACTGCAATACTTTCAGCAAACAGAGGACCATCCTTCACCATCTAACCAAGAGGCTCCTTCCAAAGGTACTGTATTATATCACAAAGCACTAAAAGTCACACAGCTACTTGCAAGTCATTTGCATACAGCACTAACACATAGATGTTACACTAATACTTGTTAGATATTGTATCGTTTGCTATGATGTCCTGTGTATTTCAAATGTTCTTATTATTTGTGTGCTGCTGCAGAGTGCTTGTCCTATCAGAAGAAGCTGCGCAGCACTGTGTCGGCCCAGTCCCATTTCCTCAGCACATATGGAGGAACCAGCAGTCTGTCTCTAGAAGACATCTACACAGAGGGTCAGCTGGAGCTTGCCCAGGGTGGCAGTGAGGCCCAGCCCCAGACTGGTGCTCTGGGGCTGGAGGATGTGGTGGGCCTGGTGGGCACCCTGAACCAGGAGGCTGACACCGTGCTAGTCTCCGGGGAGGCAGGCAGTGGGAAGAGCACCCTTCTCCAGAGGTTGCACCTCCTCTGGGCCAGGGGGGAGGCTCTACATGACTTCTTCCTCCTCTTCCCCTTCAGCTGCCGCAGGCTGAGCTCGGAGCAGAGGGAGTTGTCTCTCAGAGAGCTGCTGTTCCTGCACTGCTGCTGGCCGGACGGGGACCAGGACCGAATCTTCCAGTTCATCCAGGACCATCCGCACCTCATCCTCTTCACCTTCGACGGCCTGGACGAGCTCAAGCAGAGCTTCTCGGACTCAGAGCAGAGGCACTGCTGCCCCACCCAGTGTGCCCCCATCCCCACCCTGCTCTTCAACCTGCTGCAGGGATCCCTCATGAAGGGGGTGAGGAAGGTATGTTTTTATGTGCAATGTATGTATTGTGAATGTGTCGACTGGGTAATGCATAGTGTTTATAGACAATTTTCCCCTCAGGGACAATAAAGTTCATCCTTATCCTAAGGTGGTGACCAGCCGGCCGGAGGCGGTGGGTCCCGCCCTGAAGAGGTACCTTCGCAAGGAAGTCCTCTTGAAAGGCTTCTCGCCTGGTGGGATCGACTGCTTCGTGAGGAAGCATCATCGCGACCCGACTATGGCCACGGCAGTCCTGGAGTCTCTACAAAGCAACACAGCTCTACTGGGCCTGTGTCACATCCCGGTTTTCTGCTGGATTGTGTCCAAGTGTTATAAGGAGCTGCTGGGCTTTGGAGAGGGAGACTGCAGTCCCCAGACCATCACAGATGTTTACCTCATGATCCTGCAGCACTTCTTCCAGCGCCGGGCCTTTCAGAGGAATCCCCTGGGGATAGGCTGGGTGCAAGAGCACCAGGATACGGCCCTGCATCTGGGGAAGCTAGCCATGGAGGGCCTGGGGGCCTCTTGTTACGTCTTCACAGGCACAGAGCTTCAGAAGTGTGGGGTGACCGAGGAAGATATCTGCATGGGGTTCCTCCTCCATAGTAAAGACCTCTCCTCCTCCACTAACTGCAAACACTATGAGTTCCTGCACGTTACCATGCAGTGCTTCTTTGCTGCTCTCTACATTGTCCTGAACAATAACTCGGACCGCTCCACCATCCCTAAGCTCTTTCTGCCCCAGGACAGGCAGCAACAGCCAGGCTTACACAGGGCTTGTCTGGGGCACTGCTTGACCCAGCAAAAAGGGGCCTTGAAGGTGGCCGCTACGGCAGCAGAGACCCCCAACCTCCAGATAACAGCCACCTTTGTGTCTGGGCTCTTGTCTCATCGCCACCGTAGCCTGCTGCTCCTCTCCTGCCCTGGGCCCACTCTGGACAGGAAGTCCAAGCAGGTGTTGACGTGCATGTCCAAAGGCATGCAGAAGCACTTTAAATCCATCCCTCGGCCCGTGGAGGGGGAGAAGAAAAGCATGCACGCCATGCCAGGCTTCGTGTGGCTCATCAAGTGCATCCATGAGATGCAGGACAGCAGGATCGCCAGAGACACTATGGCTAAGCTAGAGGTAGAACACCTGAAGCTGACCTATTGTAACATAGGCCCTGTGGAGTGTACTGCACTGGCCTACGTGCTCCAACACCTTAGGAACCCTGTGGGGCTTCAGCTAGACTACAACTACGTAGGAGACGTCGGGGTGGAGCAGCTGCTGCCTTGCCTGCATGTCTGCCACTCTCTATAGTACGTATGGAAAGCTTTACCATTCTATTCACTATGACACTCACTATGGCATTATTTTAGCTTGTGCCAGTAACAAAACACACAGGACACTAAACTTAGGCCTAATAATAAGACTATTTTTATTTCACTCCCTCAGCCTGAGACACAATAACATATCAGATGAGGGAATCCGTAAATTGATTGAAAAAGGCATCCAGTGTGAGCGCTTTCAGAAGATTGCGTGAGTATGGCCAAATCTTCCACTGTCAGGTGACCTATAGCTAGGCTATGGTGGGTGTAAATGTTCTATGTCAAATATGCAGATGTAAAAAAAACAACAACTGATGAATGACCTTCATTGATCTTGATTAATGTCTCTGAAAGGCTCTTCAACAACAAGCTAACTGATGCCTGCACAGAGTACTTCGCTCACCTCCTGAAGATGAAGCAGAATTTTCTCTCTCTAAGGTGAGGATATTTTTCAACTCTCAACTTATAAGATACTGTAAAATGTTACCTAACGCAGCAATAGCTAAATACCATATTCAGTCAAACTTTCTCTGACTTTGCATTGCAGGCTGGGAAACAATAACATCACAGCAGCAGGGGCAGGGCAACTGGCGGAGGGACTGAGGTTCAATCGGTCACTACAGTTCTTGGGGTAGGAAGCAGACTACCCTATCTCTCCGAGAATGCCAAAGTTGTTTTTATGCCTATCACAATGCTGTAATAATATATCTGGTTGACAATTTTAATCCTCTCTTCGTTTTTTAGGCTTTGGGGAAATAAAATAGGTGATAAAGGTGCGGAGGCCATTGCCAATGCTCTAAAGGACAGCCAAACCTTGGTGTGGCTCAGGTAATGTTAGACTGATGATAGGTTGAAACATGAACATTACTAACACATTCATACTTTCATGGGCAACTATATGTCCAGACAGCCCTGTTATCATTAAAAAAACTTCAAAGTAGGGATACATCTTACTGTCAGATTTGTTTCATGGCAGCCTGGTAGACAATGGTGTTGGCAGTGCAGGAGCATGTGCCCTTGCCCCACTCATCAAGAACAGTACGCTATCGGTGCTGTGGTGAGTATATTGATAGCACATCCTGAATACTGAAAAATACTTTGCAGCTACCCATGTTCCATTTTGCCTCAACTGACATTTTGAAAGTTGTGGTTGTGCTAAACATTTGTGATTGTGCTAAACACATCTTTCACTCTGCTCTCTCATGCCCTCCACAGGTTAACCAAAAACTGCATCACAAGATCAGGTGTGGAGTGTCTAATACTGGCTCTTGAAAGCAACACTAGTGTGAAGGCAGTGTGGTATGTTAACATTATGCTTTGATCATTAAGACAGTTTTATACTGGCTGAGAAATGTAATTTACGAAGTGTTACTTCCTATACATACAGTACAGTATGCTGTAGTCTCCTATGCCTCCCCATATCTCCCCATACATGTGAAGATGCATCGAGGGTGAAGATTGGATCTCTAATCTCTAAGAATTAGAGTTAAGTGAATCATTGTTTTCTCTCTAGGTTGAGAGGTAATGAGCTCAGGCCCAGAAGAGGTGGAGGAGATGACACAGCGAGAACCCCGGCTTACATTCTGATGATGCCAAAAGTGCGGCTCAACTATACTGGAGTATTATTGTTTATAGCCATGTCTGTTTGTAATGTATGCAACTTCTTTAGTAGCATTTCCCCTAAAATGGTAGTTGTGTTATTTATAGGTTATTATATGTTTTACATACATTATGGATCATGTTGGATGTGATGTTCTCTATGATGTAAACCGTGTGGGCAAGCTTGTTTTATCCATTCACAATACGTCACAACTTCTGACCTGCTCTGCTACTACAAGCAGCTTGTTTGGTAGCATTATTTTCGTATTAGTCATTGTGATAAGTGACACCATGCTATATGCTACGGAACTGGTCTGACACTTGTTTTATGTAAGTATCATTGTGTGTGAGCTTATTGTTTCCGGCTAATCTATCAAATAACAGTCAGGTATTTGAACTGGTACATCAGCATTCTTATGTACCCTACCCTATTTTAAACTGACTGGCAGTGCCAGTATGTTTGATGACACGGGTTGATTCAGCGGTGACATGACTCTTATTTTATCAGTGAATCACTAACAGTGATTACATTAGTCCTATTGTGTCAGTGATCTACGGTGGGGATAGAAGGTCTTTTTACATTATGTCACCTTGCCTATTGAGAAATGTTAATGTAGGCTATTACATTTTAAAGATGCACTATGCAGAAACCGCCATTTGCTGGTTGCTAAAATTCTAATAGTTCGCTTAATTTCAGTTTATGTGACGAAACAAGCAAGTAGAGTGTAGAGAATCCCCAAAAGTTACATGTTGCAGCTTTAATTTGAAGTAAAACAGCAATTCAGTGTACTATTAATTAAATATAATTTCTCCAAAATATAATATGGAAAATGTATCAATATTTGCACATCATTCTGCACTCATAACAAGTAATTTGCATGTCAACACACTTGCCTGGTTTGAATGACATTAATCTGCGTACACTGTACAAGTCACAGTATAGTAAATCCCAGACCTGTCAACAGCACTGTTAATGTGGGAGGCAATCAATTATGTATATAAACCCTGGACTGCTGATGCTTTGCATTGGCCATCGAGAGGCTTTGAAGCCACCGGTCGCCCATATTGGCACTCCCCAGTAAGAGCAGTTCTACAGTATTTCAATTAAACATTTCAAGGACAAAATTACATATATTTAAGTATTTTGTTGTTATAGTGGTGACAGTAACATTAGTAATCTCTAAGGTGATACTTTAAGGAAAATGTTTTTTTTTTATATATATGTTTTAATTTTAAATGTTTATCTCACAATATAATTGAAAGTATGCATTTTTTTTTGTCATTTAGCAGACGCTCTTATCCAGAGCGATTAGTGTTAAGTGCCTTGCTCAAGGGCACATCGACAGATTTTTCACCTAGTCGGCTCGGGGATTAGAACCAGCAACCTTTCGGTTACTGGCACTACGCTCTTAACCACTAAGCTACCTGCCGCCCCATTAAGGTGTTTGTAATAGAATAAATGTGGCAAAAACGAATGTAGACATTAATAAAAGCAATTCTATAGCTTCTAAAATATTTTGTTAAGTGGTTATCCCACTGGCTATAAGGGGAACGCACCAATTTGTAAGTCGCTCTGGATAAGAGCGTCTGCTAAATGCCGTAAATGTAAATGTGGGGAGACTGATATCGCTGGATGTAAAGGTCTGTGCATTTTTATAACGTTATCACCTCCTTAGCATGCCTTTCTTCTTGACTAACTTCCCCCTTCTCTCTCCTCCACTCCCCCTATCCTCATGTCCTCTCCCTGTGCGGTTGGGGCCAGAACACTACGGTGGCTCATCCGTCAGTTTGTGGTTTATTTGTGGTCTGAGTGGGGTCTGCCCGCGGTCTTCCCTCCAGTGTAGACCTGACCTTCAGTAACCCTCTGATAGTCAGTCAGTCAAACTCTGTTTTAAAACCTTTTAACACAAAAACGTTGTTTTTATTTTCATGCTGTTAGATGCTAGTAATTCATTCCTTGTATTGCATCTTCTGTTATCTGGGACGACTGGTGTTCTGGCCTTGACTGTTGGGGAGGGCTAGATGTATGACGGTCCCTGTAGCTCAGTTGGTAGAGCATGGCGCTTGCAACGCCACGGTTGTGGGTTCGTTTCCCATGGGGGGCCAGTATGAAAATGTATGCACTCACTAACTGTAAGTCGCTCTGGAGAAGAGCGTCTGCTAAATGACTAAAATGTCAAATGTGGGGGAGTACCAAGATCAGGCCAAGATGGAGGCACGGTGGCTTCAACACAGCGCCCCCTATCAGTCATCTAGTGTATATGGTCTGCCAAGGTTATCAGTAGTTGTCAAAATGGGCTATATGGTAAAAATTCACGAAAACAAAAATGTGCCTTTTGGTATTAATTTAAGATTGATTAGGGTTAGGCATAAGGTTAGCAGTGTGGTTAAGGTTAGGTTTAAATTTACGTTTTAAGAAGATACGTTGTAGATTTAGGCGGGCTTTAAGACTTTGTGGCTATGGTAACTAGTGAAGACCGTCTGCCAGGGAGACTAGTAGCAGGTTTAGAAACTGCTACTAGAGAGAACCCCTCATTCGCGGATTCTTCCATACCCGTCAACCAAACTCGTGGGAAAACCCCGGGGGGTGGGACTTAATGACTAACCTGAAGCTCCGCCAATTGGCACTTGCAATGGATGCAGATTGGCATATTTTGAGGTGACACAAGTTTCGGTGTAAATTGGTTCTGTAAATAATCTTTATTCCTCTCGCTATAAGGCCTGACTTCGTTTGTCTGTCACATAATATAAGTTTTGTGTGTCAGTATTTGTTAGTATAGTCTAAGAGTCGTTCAGAAAAATATCTACATTAAATGCCGTAGATAACATCCTCTGTTGCATGGGGGCAGCTAGCTAGCCATACTAGCTACTTTGGCTAGCTTGGTAGTTTCGAGGCTGTCATATCAGTTCTCAGCTGTCTTGCTATCAAGAAGCTAGCCAGTTAATTGTACAAACGTATCCAAACCTCAGTTACTAAAGGACAGCATTGGAATATGCATGTGACATGACACTCCAGCGCCGAACTGACGTTTGAATAAGGTAAGAAAACGAGCTAGCTAACGACGTTATGTCAAAATGCTAGCTACATTGTTTCGCGTGTTTCCTCGTCATACGTCAGATTATGATATGGATGCACCTGATCAAATTTTGCATGGTTTGCTATACTGGCTACCTAGCCTTACAGCAAACATGTCCTAGTATATGTGCTGTTTTACACTAATTGACACGTTCCATGGGTGTTTTCACAATGAGGGTCCTTCCTCATCCTTGATTAAGCAAGGCCTGGCAGTGACACATTATTTCTTCTCTCGCGCATCATCACTCGCTGCTGTTGACTGGCTTTATTCAGTGATGTCACTGATGGGACATGCAAGACAACTGCTGCAATGATGATACAATTACTCTGCTGTTAATAATGTTTGATCTAATCTGTTGGGGCTTTTGAATGTTGTGATTGAAAATGGAAGCAAGATGGTGTGTTGTTTAGATAGTCAGTGTTGCATCCCAGTCATTTTATATTCAGGATGTCAGCACCATCAGTATGTGGCTACATTGTGCATCACACATTCACACTGTCAAAAGGCAAAGCAAAAGGGACAAGTGGGCTACTTTCAGAAGTAGTTGTCATGTGTCAGATAGCAGTAAGCACTGCAGTAGTACATGTTGTTGACCAAGGGTCATTCAATTATGTGTATTTTGAAAGGGCAATAGGCCTTTTCCCTTCACTCCTTCCTTATGGTAGACTACTAGAATAACATCACAACAAGTGTCTGTCGTATTATTTTGCTAATTCCATGCTCCCTCATCAAGCTCAAATAGGGGCATGGTCAACTTTGCATGATAAACAACAACAAGTCCTCTATGTGAACATTTGAACTGGGAAAATTGATGTTATGCACAGATACGCAGCCTGAGAGGAGTTGCAATGCAAACCAAGGCTAACAGTGGCACCCTATCATTGATTGATGCTTGATGCACAGACATGAGGTGTGAGTGGCCAGAGAACCACAAAGAGGAGTCATGTCAGAGGTGCTTGGATCCTCCCTTCATAATATTGGTTTTGTCAAACAGGTCGACCCTGTATTACAGTGGAGGTGTCTCTATTGTTTGTCAGGAAGAGGCGTTTGACTGCTTTAGTCTATGAATTCCCCCTCACAACTCCCTTAACCCACTCTGACCTTATCTGATCATCACACAGCTAGGGGAAATCCAAAATGTCTCAAATTCTGAGTCAGGCCCGAGTGTGTTTGAATAACGGCTGGCTCAGAATCTATTTATGTAAATATTGACTGTAGTACCAAGGCCTATGCGGCATCACCCATTTCTCATTTTAAGAGGAGAGTATCAACAGGTTTTGAGCATATTGTCTGACTGCTTCAAAATTGCCTTCTGGGTAAAGCCATTTGAATTCAATCAGTTTTTCGACAGCATCCCTGTCAACTTTCTATGGATGTTTGCCCATGGAAGGAGTATTCAGAAAGTGACTTTTTGGACCTGAATGCCAAAACATTCAGGAGGTAGAAGTGCTCAAAGTTGACCCATTTTGCATACCCCACCATACCATGAGACATCCATGTCTTCATCACTGGAAAAGATAAGAGGTTGAGCTGGATATCATTTAAAAGCTTACAAACAATGTTGTCAAACTATTTTATTATTTCTTGAAAAAAAGTTTTTTAATAGAATGCCACTTTCTTTTTCCAGAAATTATAAAATAGTTTGACAACCCTGTTTGTAAGCTTTTAAACTGTATAAATCCCAAACTCTTGATCTTTTCCAGTGATGTTTCATGGTATGGTGGGGTATGCAAAATAAGTCAACTTTGAGCACCTTTATCTCCTGAATGTTTTGGCATTCAGGTACAAAAAGTCACTTTCTGAGCACTTATACGATGGGCAAATATGTATGGAAGGTTTCGTTCAAATCAAAAGGGATGCTGTCAAAAGTGATTGAATTCCTGATTTTACCCTTATGTCAAATTGTTTTGTCAGGAATCAGAATACAGGCAGTAACCTTTTTTTTTTTAGGCCTATTTGGTTGCAAGATACCGGTAGTACACTAGGTTAGGCCTAATCATGTTTGTGCTCAACTGGTTTTCACCATCAGTTTTATGAGGTACAGTAGCAGCCTGCAGCTAATGGTGTAATCAGGCTTCACTCAGATAATAGGCCTACATTCTAATGAGGCTACATCCTGTTTGTTTAGATACCAGTTTTAATCTTTGAATGCCATTTATTCAGAGCTTATCCCAGATTTGTATTGCCTAAATGTTTTGTTGTTTTCCCGAAAAGGCACATTTCTAGCAAATCTTTAAAAAAACAACTCAACCCTTATTTGGGTTAATATAGCCTAGCCATAGGCCAATTTTTTGGGGGAGAAATTGAGCTGGGATTTATGATAACGGTCAGTGATTCTAAATGGTCTAATAGAATTAACCTGGAGTCATTCCGTGACCTTTAACAACATTGTCATAATAACAACATGCCTTTCTTTTCATACACAGGTCCTACAAAGTACATTGGGGCATGCAGGCAGCCAGTTGAGACCGTCATGAGGGAAACCCAGGCCAGCAGGAGCCTGTGAGCGACCATACCACCCTCTCTGTCTACTCTGTATTCTAACCAGCCAACGTTCCCCTCAGGTGTTAGGTCTAGTTAATCTCTCACCCTTGCTATGCCCCTGTCACTGCTTTGGGGATAGAGGAACGGCCATAAAGGGAAGAGAGAGGTCCTTCATATTGGGTTAGTTAGACAGGCGGACCCTGTATTTCCCCCTGCTATGCCCCAGCTCCTACAGCCATGAGCTCTGCCCTGTGGAGCCAGGAAAAGCCCAGTGGGGGCTTCAGGGAGGACTGGCGCTTCTACATGGTGGTCAAGGTAAATATACTTATGTTTAAAGAGCCACTGAACATGCCGATTGGCACGTGTGTTTTTCTGTTGCTCATTAGAAAAACCAGATTTCAGTCTTGTAGGTGTGTTTCCTGACCGATTCCGCGTTTGGTTAATGATGCTTGTTCCCAATAAGCACTGTAGACACGGAAGCCTATTTCACTTCTTCAAAATCCGCAGAATGAATCTAAGATAACTCAAATCTGTAATTAATTTTGATGTTTTGGCTAAGGATTATATAACGTTTTCTGTAAGTCTTCACAAGGTTTTCACACACTGTTGCTGGTATTTTGGCCCATTCCTCCATGCAGATCTCCTCTAGAGTAGTGATGTTTTGGGGCTGTCGCTGGGCAACACGGACTTTCAACTCCCTCCAAAGATTTTCTATGGGGTTGAGATCTGGAGACTTGCTAGGCCACTCCAGGACCTTGAAATGCTTCTTACGAAGCCACTCCTTTGTTGCCCGGGCGGTGTGTTTGGGATAATTGTCATGCTGAAAGACCCAGCCACGTTTCATCTTCAATGCCCTTGCTGATGGAAGGAGGTTTTCACTCAATCTCACGATACATGGCCCCATTCATTCTTTCCTTTACACGGATCAGTCGTCCTGGTCCCTTTGCAGAAAAACAGCCCCAAAGCATGATGTTTCCACCTCCATGCTTCACAGTAGGTATGGTGTTCTTTGGATGCAACTCAGCATTCTTTGTCCTCCAAACACGACGAGTTGAGTTTTTACCAAAAAGTTCTATTTTGGTTTCATCTGACCATATGACATTCTCCCAATCCTCTTCTGGGTCACCCAAATGCACTCTAGCAAACTTCAGACGGGCCTGGACATGTACTGGCTTAAGCAGGGGGACACGTCTGGCACTGCAGGATTTGAGTCCCTGGCGGCGTAGTGTGTTACTGATGGTAGGCTTTGTTACTTTGGTCCCAGCTCTCTGCAGGTCATTCACTAGGTCCCCCCATGTGGTTCTGGGATTTTTGCTCACCGTTCTTGTGATCATTTTGACCCTACGGGGTGAGATCTTGCGTGGAGCCCCAGATCGAGGGAAATTATCAGTGGTCTTGTATGTCTTCCATTTCCTAATAATTGCTCCCACAGTTGATTTCTTCAAACCAAGCTGCTTACCTATTGCAGATTCAGTCTTCCCAGCCTGGTGCAGGTCTACAATTTTGTTTCTGGTGTCCTTTGACAGCTCTTTGGTCTTGGCCATAGTGGAGTTTGGAGTGTGACTGTTTGAGGTATATATGGGCTCCCGAGTGGCGCAGCGGTCTAAGGTACTGCATCTCAGTGCTTGAGGCGGCACTACAGACCCCCTGGTTCGATTCCAGGCTGTATCACAACCGGACGTGATTGGGAGTCCCATAGGGCAGCACACAATTGGCCCAGCGTCGTCCGGGTTTGGCCGGTGTAGGCCGTCATTGTAAATATGAATTTGTTCTTAACTGACTTGCCTAGTTAAATAAAGGTGTAAAAAAAATATATATATTTTGTTGTTATATTTGTATATATTATTACATCTAACTAAGGTGTTTGGTGCAGTATTTCTCAAGTAAAAAAATGTGCGACATGTGGTCTTATTTAAACAGTCTCACTGTCTATGCTATTGGATAGAGAGCAATCACTGCAGCGGTTCACCCCATGTTAGTGGGCAAATGGACGTCGTCAAATCAAAACCCTATCTTCATTTACCCATTGTGACGCACGGATGTTCCAAACTCTGTTTTAGACGTCCATTTTAGACTAACTTTATGAGCAAAATTATCCTATTTACACTTTGTAGTCAATATTGACAGTAGAATAACGGTTTCTGACTTTCTGATATTGATGCCACATAGGCCATTTTCAAAGGGATTCATTGCTTTTTAAAAGCAGTCGCTCTTTAAGAAATTACTGAATTTTGCTAGGGATTATTCAAGATTTTGTTCATGTTTATTTATTTATCGAGGCCTGTTTATCGAAAAGGGTTCCTTTTGTGTTTCATATTTTGTTGTTGTCTATTGTGTGTTTGAGAATAAATCAGGAAGATAAGTCCTGATGTACTAATGGGTATCTTCGATTATGTTTGAATTGGCTCTGTATTCCCTATATAGTGCACTACTTCTGCCCAATGGGCCCTGGTCAAAAGCAGTGTACTATATAGGGAATAGGGTGCCATTTCTGACACAGCCTGAGACCCTTAATAACTCAACAAAATTCCACTAAGGAGTGTACAGTGGAGAAGCCCCCCCAGAAGACCCTGAGGATCCCCCGGGGCAGCCTGGGACAGGCCTGCCAGGAGCGGAACAGCCTGGGGCGCACTCTGCCCCCCAGCAAGGGCAAGAGGAGCCTCCGTGTCCTGGACCAGACCAACGTGGTGCTGAGCCTGGATGAGCGGTTGGTCCATATCTAATTCATGGATAGTGACACTTTATCTTGCAATATAGCAAAGTTTGAAAAATAACAATACTCACATTTGACATACTTTTGGTCATGTAGTGTATGTGGACACCTGCTAATCAAAAATCTAATTCCAAAATCATGGGCTTTAATATGCTTCTATAACAGCCTCCACTCTTCTGGGAAGGCTTTTCACTAGATGTTGGAACATTGCTGCGGGGACTTGCTTCCATTCAGCCATTAGTGAGGTCGGGCACTGATGTTGGGCGATTAGGTCTGGCGCGCAGTCTGCATTCCAATTCATCCCAAAGGTGTTCGATGGGGTTGAGGTCAGGGCTCTGTGCAGGCCAGTCAAGTTCTTCCACACCGATCTCAACAAACCATTTTTGTATGGACCTCGCTTTGTGCACGGGGGCATTGTCATGCTGAAACAGGAAAGGGCCTTCCCCAAACTGTTGCCACAAAGTTGGAAGCACAGAATCGTCTAGAATGTCATTGTATGCTGTAGTGTTAAGATTTATCTTCACTGGAACTAATGTGCCTAGCCCGAACCATGAAAAACAGCCCCAGACTATTATTCCTCCTCCACCAAACTTTACAGTTGGCACTATGCATTCGGGCAGGTAATGTTCTCCTGGCATCCGCCAAACCCAGATTCGTCCGTCGCACTGCCAGAAGGTGAAGCGTGAATCATCACTCCAAAGAACACGTTTCCACTTCTCCAGAGTCCAATGGCAGTGAGCTTTACATAACTCCAGCCAACGCTTGGCATTGCGCATGGTGATCTTAGGCTTGTGTGCGGCTGCTCGGCCATGGAAACCCATTAAATGAAGCTCCCGACTAACAGTTATTGTGCTGACGTTGCTTCCAGAGGCAGTTTGGAACTTGGTAATGAGTGTTGCAAACGAGGACTGATGATTTTTACGCGCTTCAGCACTCAGCGGTCTTGTTCTGTGAGCTTGTGTGGCCTACCACTTCGCGGCTGAGCCGTTGTTGCTCCTAGACGTTATCACTTCACAATAACAGCACTTACAGTTGAACGGGGCAGCTCTAGCAGGGCAGAAATTTGACGAACTGACTTGTTGAAAAGGTGGCATCCTATGACGGTGCCACGTTGAAAGTGACTGAGCTCTTCAGTAAGGCCATTCTACTGCCAATTTTTGTTTATGGAGATTGCATGGCAGTGTGCTCATTTTTATATACCTGTCAGCAACGGGTGTGATTGAAATTGCCAAATCCACTAATTTGAAGGCGTGTCCACATACTTTTTGTATATATGTAGTGTGTGATATATTGACATGTTGTTTTTGTTACTTTAATACTTTCTTGTGTTATCCTGTGGGATTCAAATGCACATGTTGTTGTGTGTTTGATTTGCAACCAATTCATTCAATTCAGGGACGTCCTGGAGTTGGATGAGAAGCTAGCTGAGCTGCTGTTCCCCATCACCAACTGTGAGGAGCGCTATGCCCTGCTGTGCAACAAGCCCCGGCTGGAGCGGGCCAGAGACATCGACTGTGGCTCCAAGGTGCGCGTGCAGCTGCGTTCGGGGGATGAACCTTTGCCTGGGGTAGTCCGATTTAAAGGATCGCTCCTCCCCGACAGGGCTCTCTCCGGGGTCTGGTTTGGAGTGGAGCTGCTGGTGAGAAACCTCATCTTTACTATTCTTTTAAAATGCAATTTGTAATGCATTTTGTAAGCAACTGACCCTCAGTTACGTATATAGAGTAGGAACTTCAGTTATGTTATGTGTGTGTGATATTGCCTATAATTTGGTCTTTGTGAAATGTTCCTTGAGGATTTCATAACAGCTAAAGCTAGTAAATGGACTCTCTCTCTTGCCGTAGCCTACGTTCTGTAAAGATGAGGTAAAGTAGCGGGCTACAAAGGCTTGTTTATTGGAGCACAATGTTGTGTTTATTCCTCTTGTAGGCTGGGTGAGTGGGTGAAGGAGCTGGACGAGAGGCAAGGCTGACCGTTGCTCACTATAAAGGGTTTAGCACATTCTTGGATTTCAGATCAGCGTCTTGATTGAATGCCAGACTTGTATCACAATTCAGAATACTTACCACACATTTACAGTCAACAATGTTTACTTCTTGTCTTGATCATACACACATAAATTGAACAATGCCAATACTGAAAAGCCCTACATGGCATTCAAGAAGAAGTGCAGTGTTGCAGTGTATAGGATCATGGAACTACACCCTGTAACTGTCCATTATCCCTGTGTAATAGCAAATATTATTCAGTTTGGCGCCTGCCGGCTACTCTGCAATGAAACATTTTGAGTATGCTGTTATGCCCTCCGCAGTATCGATCTGAAACCGTCATCATCCCAGATGTATGATGTTCCCTCCCCTGTAGAATGCTGAGTAGGCAGGTTACTGTAGCTGAGCTCACCTCACTGTAATGAGAGCTCATGCCTCTTGTATCAGCTCAGCCCAGTGTTAGGCTTTTCCTGTGATGGTTAGTCTAGGGTTAGGGATGGGGTTAGGCTAAGGGTCAGGGTTATTCTTGGGCATTACTGGGTGAGGGGTTAGCGTGACGGAGTAAGCTACATGCGACTGGCACTCACAGGTTATCCCACGTTTAACATACTGTATGTAACCTATGCCTCTTCCTAGGAGGAGGGCAGAGGCCAGGGCTTCACAGAGGGCTCCTACCAGGGCCGACAGCTGTTCCGCTGTGAGGATGAGTGCGGGGTGTTCGTGGCCCTGGACAAGCTGGAGCTGTGGGAGGAGGAGGAGGAGGAGGAGCTGGGGGAGCTAGAGGTTGATCACGTCACCCTGGTGGAGGAGGAGAGAGATTTCCATCTGCTGGAGCTCAACTCCAGGGTCCTGGTCCAGACCAGAGAGGGGCCAGAGAGGGGAACCATCATCTTCTGTGACCTGCTGCCTGGGAACGAGAGCCTGGGGTACTATGTGGGAGTAGACATGGTAAGGGTCGAGACGCTGGTCCCATACAGGGGCCTCACTGAGTACAACCTGCTCCTGTGTGCTGTAGAATGGCAGACTGGCAATGTAAATGCTGTTAACACTAGGTGAAGGTGAAATGTCCACCCTAAATATTATAGAATAATGCTATATTTATAGAACATGGCTAACCACTTATAAATTACATCTCAAGTTAAGCAAGAGCCTAGTTCAAGTAGCCCATGTAAGGTTGTTTGTGTGATTTGATTATTGTCTATCCAGAAAAGCAAAGATCATTCATATTATTTATTTAGCAGTCTAACAACCAGCTGCTGGTGTCGATGTTTACTGTTGCCAATGTAATCAGATAGCATAGCAGTTAAGGATAGGGAACATGCATAATGACAGAGGCATTTGACTGCTGGTTGTTAGTAGTAGTAGCAGCAGTGAGCCCACTCAGTCTACTCTGGCCTGGGACACACACAAAGGGCAGTAGTCACGCGGGGAGCTGGGGAGTGAGGTAAAGATGCAGGCTGAGCCCCCAATGGCACCCTATTCCCTATGCAGTGAACTACTTTTGACCAGAGCTCAATGGGCTCTGTTCAAATGTAGTGCACTAAATAGGCAATAGGGTGCCATTGGAGACGTAGCTACAGCACTGGGCTGTATGACCAGTAGCATGGCACAGGGCCAGCGGGTTGGCCGGGCAGCCGAGGAAAGGAGAGGAGAGTCCACTGCTCCGTCCGCTCTGCTCCAGCCTCGCCCAGCACGCAGAGAGAATCAACAACACTGACAGGCCATATACAAAACAGCTTAGTGTTAGACTATATTCGTGTAACGTTTTTGTTTATTTGGATCTATTTTAGCCCACAATGGGGCCAACATTCCAAGAGTACATACATTAGTGTGGTGGAGTGGGGCAACCAGTACTGGAGAACTTTGACCCTGCTTCCTGGGGATTGGAATAACCCCTCTGTTTTGAAGACGCGGGGAGGTACATTTGAGAAACGTAGGGAGGGAAGGTTAAGAGGGGAGTTGAAGTGCAGACGGAGGCCCATTACTGGGTGGAGGGGGTAGTTGACTGGATAGAGAAGAGCTGTAGTAGTAATGCCAGTGCTGCTGCTGAGACTGAGACTGGGACTGTAAGTACAGGTTTTAGGAGATGAGGAACGCCCGCAGGAGTAATCGGTTGCTGTCTCCGACTCTTCCAGGACAATCCTATTGGGGACTGGGATGGCGTTATCGACGGGAAGCTGCTGTGTAATTTCGCCAGTCTGGAGCACACCCGTCTAGTCCCCATCTGTGACGTAATGCCAGGTGAGTCGGGCGGTCCGGTAGTCTATTCTCTCCTTTTTCTCTCACATCGAATGTGTATTGATATTTCAATTCATAACAATTTCATCAAGTGCAAATAGATATTTTTGAAATATTCTCTCCCTTAACTGAAGAAGCTTCAGTATTGTCAGTTAGCCATATAGTCAGTTAGGCAGTTATGAGTGTAGTATTTATGGTGGGGGGTGAGTGAACACAGTAGCACTAAGCGGAGTGTTGTGTGTTAGTGTTTAATGGCAGCAGCATCAGTAACAGAGGCTCTTTTGTTTGACGGCTCTGCTTGTTTTTGAAAGTCAAGTGAGATGCTGCTCCTCTCAGCCTCTTTGTTCTAGCCATTGGTTTTATTGATTTGTTTGTGTGTGGTGTCTGACTCTGAACCCCAACAATGGTTCAGATGCTTTGATGTTCTTGGTCTTCTTGGACATTCTTGAAGTGTGTGTGGTGGGGGGTTCGTACGTTTCATTAATGCATTTTCTCTTTGAAAAGCTTTTTGCTCTCTGAAACTTAAGACTGATCATGTTGACCTGTACTTGAAAGTCTATGGTATTGAGTGAAAGTATGCTTTTCACTTTGCATCAATCTCCTGTAGATTTTGTTACTAACTAAGTAAATACCGGTATATTGCACAATTATAAAGACCTTCCCACTGCTTTACCAGGCCCCACAGCCACCAATCATGATTAGGCCTATTATTGTAGCAGGCCTATACTCTGTAATGGTGCTATGATATGGGGGGGGGGTGGTGGTGTATTACTGTATACCTGCCAGAACCAGCACCTGCAACAAGACACACGGCTGTGAACTGTAGGGTTTTCACTTGTTTTTGCACAGGGGGATGTGTATATCAGTGTTGTTGAACACTGTTGTTATACTGGGCTCTGTGTTTACAGAGTACTCCATGCAGGACCAGAGGCTGCAGAAGCACAGTTTTGCCCCCAGAGGCAGCAGCAGTGACAAGTCGTCCTCTGGCCAAAGCAAACCAAAGAGCAAAGGTACTGCTGCTGGCTTCAAGTGCATGTACTAGCTAACACTATAACACTTTAACATGGTGTTAGTGTGCTGACGTGATATTAGCTGAGGGTTCTGTCATTGGAATGTTGTGAGGGAAATCATATCAATAAGTCATGATGACTGAGTTTTGGAAAATGTAAGACGTTTTGCCAGATTCCTTTTGTGTGAATGTCCAATTTGGATTCCAGAGCTTATGTGAATGGTATGGAGTGGAGTGGTGAGAGTTACTGAACCGTTGTGTTCCTTGCATGGCTACTGAACTGCTCAGTGTGCTGAGGATCTGCCTCCCCGTTTCGCCTCTCTATCCCTTTCTCTCTCTCTCTCTCTCTCTCTCTCCTCTCCACACCCATCCTGCTGTCATTAATGACAGTGTCTGCTTTGAACAACCAGCCAAAAACACACACACAGCAAACACACACCTGCTTCTTTTCTGTTTCTCTGTTGACTTGTGTTATCTCCAGGCTTAGGTCTTCAGTGTGGGAGTAGAAGCAAGTCAGAGTTTTATTATACTTTAAATGGCAGCTCTGTTGACCACCCAGTCCAGGCCAAAATCCAAAAGCACATGGTACATTGATGAAGGTAAAACACCAGCAAGATACAGTACTGAGACTCCCAACTGTCTTGATAGCAGGGTCCTGTTAATGCATGGTTGATCTACAGGATTCATTTACCAATCAGTGAACAAATAAAGAATGCGTTTGAGCTTTAACTTAATTATTGTATTGTTTTGGTAGATAACATTACATTGTTATTTAAATCTTACTGTGATTTGAATAAGTAGCTTGCTATCAAGACTAAGGCTGTGACGATACCAGTATCGAGATATATTTTTTCCATGGCAGAAATGACAACACGAAGCAGGTCAAACTCTTTGGTCCTTTAAAATACCTGCTGTGTATGTAAAATAATGTGTTCTATAGCTTGGAAAATAAATAAATATGACTGGTTGACAACATAATGAGGTTCTGTTTTACTAAAGAAGTTAAATCCGCTTAGTGTTTTGTTTCCTTGCCACGAAACTGGTATCGTCCCGGCCCTAATCAAGACCATTCACTGAGAGTCCTCTCTCTATTCATTCCCATTGACTGTGAGGTCCACCTGCATGGTGTAATTGGTGTGGCATGGTCTTCATTAAATCACAAAAAGGCTTTTAATAATGCTTTAATAAAAGTGGACAGAAGTAACGTTTCTTACATGTATTCTCTCTCAGAATAATTAAATTAGGTAAAGTGCTGTACTTTATTCTTGATAGTTTCCTGTAAGCATTAGTGAAAGCCTTCAGTACTGGGTGTAAGTGAGGACATGGATATGTTTTATGGGGGATGGTGTGGGGTAGTTTAGGAAGGTAAAAGTTGTACCATTGTCTTCATCTGTGGTGATGATCATGTTCCTTACAGCATGGTGGTGATGAATGGATAATTGACAAGGAAACCAAGGGATTGAAAATGATTGAGCCATATAAAGCCTGTGTAAAGTTATGGAGCTATCAGTGGACTCTAGGGTGAGGAAGACCTAGTGGAGATGACTCCTCTATGTTGCAGGAATGAGAGCAATCCTGTCACAGCTGCTCTCTCTGTTCTGTTTCATCACCTCTTTTGTTTCTCATCACTGCCTTCTCCCCATATGTTCCGGTCCATCATATTCATATGTGGTGGTGGATTGTATTATTTTCCGTTGGTGATGTGAGGATCTTGTGACTCACCCATCTCTCTTCTGGTTTATTCTGTGGCTGTCTCCATGTGGAGGCATTTAGATTTTCTCAACATGTTCACAGTGACACAAATATTTACATTTTCGACTCCCATGGGAGGTAAATAAAAACGTCCTTGTGTCACACAAGGTATATTTTGTGGTTCTGTTTACAGTGAATGTAAAAATGTGTATACACTTTATAGTGAAAGTGTTATAAGCCAACGTTATATTTGGTTTGCTAATGCTGATATGAAGCTGTGACACCACCTAGACTCTCCCTATTCAGAACGTTGGCAAATGTTCACGACAAAGTAGAATTAGTCCACATTGCTAGAAGCTCTCTGTCAGTGTAATATCTGCTGCAGTGAAAATTGATTGTCAGTCTGTTGTTTTCCTCTGCAGTCGGGGAGGACCCTGCCAAGTCCCTCACAGACACGCCCCCTGACTTCAATGAAGCCACTCCTCCTACCAGGGCCCCGCCCTCTGCTTCCTTGTCCAATGACAACAAGTTCCACTCCCTGCCCTTCAGCCTGAGCCGTAAGACTGGGCCCAATGGCAGCATGAGCCATGGACCCCTCTCCCTCTCCGTCCAGTCAGTGATGGGAGAGCAGATGCAGATGCCAGAGCCCCCTTCCCCTACCCCTCCCTCCCCGCGGCCCCCCTCTCCCCCCAACTCTCGCGGGGGTGGGGGTGTGCCTGGTCTGGAGGTGGGGTCCCTGGTGGAGGTGAAGGAGAACCCGCCACTGTGTGGGGTCATCCGCTGGGTGGGGCTGCCCCCGGGACTACCGGAGCCACTGGCTGGCCTGGAGCTGGTGAGAGATCATTACACTGACAGGAAGGATTGTCTCTTTGTAGCTTCTGAGACCTGGCTATTTTGTCTTGTGTTTTCCCCAATAACATTGTCACAACAAGTGAATTAAGGATTTAAGGAAACCATCAGTGAAACAACGTTGTTTTAAAATGAATAGTAGAATCATCCAAATCCATTGTTTGCTACGGTTTGGAATAAACATGTTTATTTACATTTTACATTTACATTTTAGTCATTTAGCAGACGCTCTTATCCAGAGCGACTTACAGTTAGTGAGTGCATACATTTTTCATACTGGTCATTACTAGCTATATGTTTAGTCTAATAGCATACGGCTAACTGCACTGATAACATCATGATGGCCTTGTCTGGTTCTGCTCTCTCAGGAGGAAGAGTGTGTTGGCTGTACAGACGGCACCTTTCAAGGTACCCGCTACTTCAGCTGCGCGCCCAAGAAGGCCCTGTTTGTGAAGCTGAAATGCTGCCGGCCTGACTCCCGCTTTCCCTCCCTACATCACTCCTCCAACCCCATAGAGAGATGCAACTCTATCGGTGAGTCACTGGTGTCACCTGTCAGTCCTGCGCTGAATTACAAATTGACCCCTAGCCCCTACCCTAGGTACTCCCTAGGATTGGACGGGTAAAAGCAATATGGGGACATTTCCTCCCAGCTAAGCAGTCCTGCCCAGGATTGTCAACTTAATCTTCACTGTTTGTGTCTGTCCAGCTTTCGGGGGTTATCTGAGTGAGGTGGTGCATGAGAACACTCCTCCACGCACTGAGAATGATGGTCTGGACGTCATGGTGGGCAAGAAGAAAGGTATCCAGGGCCACTACAACTCCTGCTACCTGGACTCCACACTCTTCTGGTAAGGACATAGGAGAGAGATCTCTGAGTTTTCTCTTCTTCTTTGCGAGTTCTTAACCTCCTCATTCCTATGTCACTGTAGTTAAAGGCCCAGCGTAGTAAAAAATGTGATTTTCCTGTGTTTTATAAATATATTTAGACATTATGAGGTTGGAATAATACTGTTTTAATATAATACTGGAATAAAGCCTGTTTTGGTGGGATGGAGTTTTAGGTAAATTAGTTAATAGACCAATAATAAAGAGATCCAAACCTCTCACCCCTCCCCACTCAGACCACTCCCAGACAGTCCTAGCAAAAGTATTGCTTGAGAATTTGCTAAGAAGCCATTTTTGTTTCTTTTGGACCATTTTAATTGAAAACAATCACACTAAGGTACTTCATAGTCTTTTTAGTCTCTCAACAGGGAAAATAAATGGTTTCTTTTCTCTTTCCCCTCTTTAGTCTCTTCTCCTTCAGCTCAGTCCTGGACACGGTTCTGCTGAGGCCGAGGTCCAAGACTGACGTAGAGTATTACCGAGAGACACAGGAGCTGCTGCGCACAGAGATAGTCAACCCCCTGCGCATGTAAGTAGGAAATTGCTCTTCGTGTTTTGTTCACAGACACATTCATTCAGTATAATGTAATGTGGCAAACCAATGCTTAACATGTGATTTTATAAACACTTTAATTAGTTTTCTAGACACAGTATCATAACTGTGAGATCCTCTGATTCTATTTCCATTTGTCTTGTAGACACGGATATGTGTGCGCCACTAAAGTGATGAAGCTCAGAAGGATACTGGAGAAGGTAGAAGCTGCCTCAGGGTTCACATCTGAAGAAAAAGGTGTCTGATGCCTTTATCAAAATATTAAAGTGTTGGGGTTTTGTTATAAATGTCATAAACTTGTTCTAAATATTTTTAAACGTCTTATAAACTTAATGTTCACCTTTCACCTCACAGATCCTGAGGAGTTCCTCAATATTCTGTTCCATCACATATTGAGGGTGGACCCCTTACTCAAGCTGAGGTCAGTCTACATTAAACATACTCATAAACATATCCTCTTGTTATTGCTTATCTAAAGTATTTCTGCAAATAGTATGAAAATGTATGCACTCACTTAACTGTAAGTCGCTCTGGATAAGAGCGTCTGCTAAATGACTAAAATGTAAATAGTATACACATTTAAGAATATTTAGACATAAATCTAAGCTGAGCTCAAATTAGTACGATTTCCCATGTATTCTTACACATGATATCCTGTTTGTATCTGTCGTGTCTAGGTCGGCAGGTCAGAAGGTTCAGGACTGCTACTTCTACCAGATCTTCATGGATAAGAAGGACAAAGTGGGCGTGCCAACCAGCCAGCAGCTCATAGAGTGGTCCTTCATCAACAGTGACCTCAAGTTTGCTGAGGTGATCTGTCTGTCTGTATGTCTATGTCTGTCTGGCTGTCTGTCAGTGGTTGGGTTGCGCAGGGTTGAATCATTTGCTGATTGCAATCAAGAAGCAATTCATTCTAGGAGCATGAAGGGAGAGTCAACTTGACTATCAATTCTAATGATTAGCTGAGTTAATCAATGAAAGGCTGAGCTACTATGGAAATTGGCAGGATCAGTAGCTTGTATTCCGTTGGGTGTGACTTTGTAGAATATAGTGTAGACCACATACAGTTCTCTTTTGTGGAATTTAAGTGGGATGTTGTTTGCTCTGCTGTCACCAATCCGGTGCTTTATATTCAGGATTTGTTTGTTATGTAACAGCTGTTCCTCAGTAAGTGACTTCATGCTTATTCTCTTCTCTCTGTTCAGGCTCCTTCATGCCTTATCATCCAGATGCCTCGCTTTGGGAAGGACTTCAAGATGTTCAACAAGATCTTCCCCTCACTAGAGTTAGACATCACAGACTTACTTGAAGACAGTGCGTAAAAATGTATTTTATTTGAATGTGGTTGAAGTTGGATTATCATTATTGAATGTGATGGAACTGTTTTCCATATCAGAAATCTACTGTTCTCCATCGACATATGGTTGTGTGTGGGTGTGTATAGTCTTAACCCTCAACCTTGTGTTTCTCTCAGCTCCCAGGGAGTGTCGAATCTGCGGGGGTCTGGCTCTGTATGAATGCAGGGAGTGCTACGAGGACGGTGACATCACTGCCGGGAAGATAAAACAGTTCTGTGAAAAGTGCAATACACAGGTAACAGACAGAGAGCGCCATTTCACCAACATAGAAACTAAGGGGATCTCATCAGGGACTTGCAGTAGTTGTAAAGCAGTGTAGTTCCAGTACAATCCACTTGGGGGTGACAAGTCCTAAGGAATGACTGAGTTTCATGTAACTTTCTAAATTATATTATAATCTGGGTGGTTTGAGCCCTGAATGCTGATTGGCTGACAGCCGTGGTATATCAGACCGTACACCACGGGTATGACAAAACATTTATTTTTACTGCTCTAATTACATTGGTAACCAGTTTATAATAGCAATAAGGCACCGCAGGGGTTTGTGGTATATGACCAATATACCACGGCTAAGGGCTATATCCAGGCACTCCATGTTTCGTCTTGCGTAAGAACAGCCCTTAGCCATGGTATATTGGCCATATACCACACCCCCTCGTGCCTTATTCCTTAAATAACTTATAGCTCAAGACAAAAGTGGAAATATTTACCCCGAACTTTGAGGCACATTTGTGAATATTTTTGCTAAACTCTCAGTGAATATATGCGTAATTAATTTAAAAAACTCATGAATTGTGAAACTTGTCATTCTTCAGTTTATTCTTTACACTGTAGTTGCCATCGATCTATGATAACTGTTATTAGACATATTTATAACTATTGCATAGAAATACTTACAAAATCCCCAAGAAATAGATAAATACTTATTTACAACCATTATGTGTGTTGTGTTCCCTCAGGTTCACCTCCACCCGAGGAGGAAGTCCCATCGCCACGGGAAGCTGTCCGTCCCCAAGGAGCTGCAGGAGGGTGTGTGGCGGCAGGGTAGCTTCCCTCGCCAGCGGATGGAGCTGTTCGCCGTGCTCTGCATCGAGACCAGTCACTACGTGGCCTTCGTCAAGTACGGCCACCAAGACTCCGCATGGCTCTTCTTCGACAGTATGGCCGACCGCGACGGTATGGGGAGAAAAGTCTTCTTTAGGAGTTATTGGATGACTTTTAGTTTTTTTTTACTGTTGGTGAAATGTGTATTGGATAATTTAGTATTTTGTATTGTTGGGGAAACAATATTTTGAATCATTTACAAAATTATTATGAACTGTCAAACCAGCTATTTTTCCGATATTGGCCGTTTGTCTCATTGTTCATAATTATGAATAGATATTCAGTTCAATAGTAAATATTTTGGATTCAAGCTTTAGGTATATCCCTCAAATCACACATAGAAATTATATTACATAGAAATATAACTAGAACACTTGTCATTGCTTTAATACCACAGTTCTGAGTGCTCTGTGTGTTTGTTGTTCCATAGGAGGGCAGAATGGCTTCAACATCCCCCAGGTGTCTCCGTGTCCGGAGGTGGGGGCCTATCTGAAGATGACCCCTGAGGAGCTGCACGCCCTGGACCCCAAGAGCATCCAGGGCCAGGCCCGCCGTCTGCTGTGTGACGCCTACATGTGCATGTACCAGAGCCCCACCATGAGCCTGTACAAGTAGAGCCCCCGGGGCAGGAGACTCCCAGACAGACAGACAGACAGACGGGAGAGCTGCAGTCCAGAGCTCTCTCCCTCAGTCCCCACCACCACCTCCTCAATGCCTGCCCCTGTCTCCTCAGTCTACTCTGCCCAAAGTGAAGAGACTAAAAGAGAAAAGAAAAAAGCTTATTTGCACTGTGCATTTGTTGAAGTGTTGTTCTTCATGTTTTCCCTCTGTGGTGAACAACAAAACAAGCTGATCTTGCCGTCAGTAGCTTCCCTGTGCCTCGTAGCTGAGTGGTGGGGGTCGGTGGTCGATGGAGACACGAGAAGCCCGCTGAATATTATTCTCTCCCTGTGGAGAGGAAGAGAAGGAGAGAGAGGGAGAAGGAGAGCGAGAGAAGGGGACGACATGCTCGTCTCGGCTGACTAAACATGCAAAACAAAAACAAGCCGTGTTAATGGAAGGACAGAGGCCACCTCATTTACCTAAAGCAGGGGGAGTTCTGCTTTTCTTAATCAGTGTAAGAGATGGGAGCTCTCCATAATTCAACTCATAGTGGAAATAATGCCATGTTCAAAACCCTCAACCAACTGTGGATACTGTTTAAACAGCTTGTCTTAAGACCTCCTTAGTACCATGATCCATTGTGTCAGATGTGTACCACCACCAACAGTATATTTATGTCAACGGACTATAGCATTAGGATCAACCAGAATACCTTGGGTTGCATATTTCCCTATTATACCTCGGTATAGCCGGTTGTTTGACAGTTCTCCATGCAGTCAAGAGGACAGGTGAGGTACTGTAAAGCCTGGCAGGTGTTTTTGAATTAACAGTTTGTTGTGGAAAAATTCAGCTGAACTTTTCAATTTAGATTTTTCTGTTTTGTAAGTCTGAAGGCGTTGTGTGTCAGAAAACTAAATTATTTTATATCTAAACTTTTAACTGCACTCAAGACATAGCAAACCCCTGCTTGGCATTTGTCATTCTCAAGACCTATCTATCTGATGAGACAAACAGTATTAGCCTTTTGTGTCTTTTTCATACATTTGTGACAGTCAACTCCCCAACCATGGATCAAAATCAAATAACTTCAAAAACAGTAAATGCCTAATTATATTTTAATCAAAATATATTTACATTATCGTATTTCCTTTTTTTTAAGGAAATAAATAATATATATTAAATATAAGCTTTCTGGTACTCCCTCATCTCTCACCAGATATTGAAGTGAGTTCTTGTGATTCATGCTGTCCCATTAATACTACTGAATGTTACCACCAGTGGCATGCTGGGTAGTGTAGTTTAATGTCATGATGGAGGCCTGATTGGGAGGTTCAATGCTAGTTTCCAGATGACTACAACCTCCACAAAGCCCCATTGTGATTGTTTTCCCAGGGACCCCCAAAGGGGACATTATTACTGTGTGCGCTTGTTTCTGCACTGCTGAAGTTTAATGCTCGTCACAGACAGACAGGAGGACTTTCTTTACTCCATGGGAGCCTGTGAGTCTCTGATATGGAGATCTATAAACATTGACTTGTGCATCTATCTGTACAGTATAAAACGTATATAACGGATGGAAATTAATGTCAGTGCTGTTCTCGTAAATGTTAACTAAATTAAAACCTATGTTTTGAAAGGTATGAAAGTGTTTATTTGTGTGTTGGAGATGTTTGCCGTATGCGTCTGATGGCAGTTGGCTTTGTTTGTTGCGTCTGAGTACATTGCGGTACGCTTGTCGTGTAGCTTAATGACGGCTCTGGTGTGTGTCCGTGTCCTCACCTGTCACAGAGGTGCGGGTCTCATTAGCATGGTGTCTCTGCAGGGGCTCAGCACAGCGGGAGCGCTGCTCTGGTCAATGCGTCTGTCAGAGAGACGGCGTGCAGATGGGTCTAACCTCCCCATGGGCAGAGACATAGCAGCTGGCCACAGGTCAGACTGGGGGCTCGAGGCCTAGACAGCACAGGGAACACAAGGTTCTATTTTCTTCTCTTTCTCACCTCAAACTACAGTCCCCACTGGAAAAGGCAGAAATAATTTTAACATACCTCTGATAAATCATTGTTAAAATAGTGGAAAGGGTATACTTTTTGGATTAGTCATAACCCGCTGGGCACAGACTTCAATTCAACGTCTATTCGACGTGGTACAACGTAATTTAATTAAAATGGCGTGGAAACAACATTGATTCAACCAGTGTGTGCCCAGTGGGAAGAGTTTAACCCATAGGTACATTTCCAGCTCAGTGAGTGACTTGCAGTGCCTGTCTGTGAGCACTGCAGTATTTCAAGCTCTTGAGAAAAGTCTCTCATCTGTGTTTGAGCAGTTGCTGACAATGTGTGAGCAAGTGGGTTTATGCCTTTAGTCATAGGATTATTACAATATAGGGCCCAGTTTAGGCCTCTTTAAAACCACAGTCAATCGTCTGCTGTCTAGAAAATAAATACAAATTGGGCGCAATATGATCACAACCTGTTATTCTTAACATTCAGGATGACAAAGATCTGTTTTCAAGATGGCAGTTTGTTTGACCACTTGTGTGACTGGCTTTTCATTGTTATTATCCACGTGGCCTATATGTTGGGATTAAGTTCCATATACCCTATGACCCAATTCCCCAGACACTTAGCAACAAAGAGATAAATCAACCTATATTATACATGCATTTCCCCCACAGGAACCCTCTTACACACCTTACACCCATTTAGTTTTTAGTCAAACTTGAAACCAGCTTAGCAAGCTGACTTCAGAAGTGCCAGATAAGTATTTGTCAACACAACAGCTGGCGCCACAATGCCCTCTTGTATCTTAATGCCACAGCATATGCCAGCCGCTCGTAGCGTGTGATAATTTAGCCGGGACTGGTACTTCAGGAGCAGATGGGCTCAAGTATTGTTATTCTCACTCTAGCTCAGAGGCCCTGGGGGAGATTGCTAAATAAAATCCAAGCAGATGGACCTCTCTGGGCTGGGCTGTGTTTATGATAAAAAGCCAGTGGTCCTCCAACACCGCTGGGTTGGGGCTGCTGGGGAAGGGGCAGGGTCTACCACCTATAGCCTCTCCACTGGACAGGAGCAAGTATTACACTGGTGGATTGGGCCTCTGGAAAAACCTAGAATTTACCTAGCCTGCTAACAACACAGAATATTGCTTTTACTACTGTGCTGTTTTCGTGAAGTGAAACACAGCGATATTCATTGTGGATCCCAGGCTATATTTAAGCAATAAGGCCCGAGTGGCGCAGTGGTCTAAGGCACTGTGCATTGCAGTGCTAGCTGTGCCACTAGAGATCCTGGTTCGAATCCAGGCTCTGTCGTAGCCGGCCGCGACCGGGAGACTCATGGGGCGGCGCACAATTGGCCCAGCGTCGTCCAGGGTAGGGGAGGGAATGGCCGGCAGGGATGTTGGTAGAGCACGGCGTTTGCAACGGCAGGGTTGTGGGTTCGATTCCCACGGGGGGCCAGTATGAAAAAATATAATGTATGCACTCACTAACTGTAAGTCGCTCTGGATAAGAGCGTCTGGTAAATGACTAAAATGTAATGTAAAATGTGGTATATGGCCAATATACCACGGCTAAGGGCTGTTCTTTGCATGACGCAACGCAGAGTGCCTGGATACAGCCCTTAGCCGTGGTATATTGGCCATATATCACAAACCCCCGAGGTTTCTTATTGCTATTATAAACTGGTTACCAATGTAATTAGAGCAGTACAAATACATGTTTTGTCATACCCGTGGTATACCACGGCTGTCAGCCAATCAGCATTCATGGCTCGAACCACCCAGGCTATATTCTTCTCCAACCCCTGTGGCCTAATGGTACAGTCACACACAACAGAAGCCCAGACAGACACACTCAGGATCACTCTCTCACTTTATTTTGGTGTTGTGTTTAATGTGTTTTTTTAATGTCTGAATTTCCTGTTCTTTCTCACTCATAATAGTCAGTCCCGAGTTAAAATATGGGACTATTTTGTTCTTTTTTTGATACTTTCCCAAGATTGTCTGATGTTGTTCTCGGTATTCTCACATCTACACCATGCACGGGACCTTGAAGAAGACATGGGCGCTATGGTTTTATTGTAAACAGCCTCCCATCACATCAGGTAGTGATTCTGCTGCCTGTCAGGAATGCAGAATGGTTGGTTCACACTCAGCATTGAACTTGAAATCCACTCTCATTCCCATGGGAAAGACTGCCAGTAAACAAAGAAATCCTATCAGAGTCTGGAGAGAGAAGGTAAATGTTAAAGCCCATTCTGACAACAGGAAAACAGTGATTTCCGACACTAAAGATGAAAAGGGTGCTGAGAGAGAACAATTTCAAGCCAATCAGTCCTAACTCAATATACCACTTAGGCGCTGTTTTAACTCTATTGTGATAAGGGGTTTTATTTAGTGGCTTTAAAGGTCACAGTCTGATGAAGTCAAAGCAGTGCAATCAAACTAATGTTTAGAACTGAAAGTATTAACTCTGCAGTTCTTCAATCACTTTGAGACCTTTTAAATATCTGTGTTGTAAGGTAGTTTCCGTTCATTCGCAATCCTGTTCAAATGGCCAGCTGCAGAGGCAGTTATTTTTCATACTTAATTCAATTACTTGTTTTTGCCACAGAGAAACTACTCCAACTCTAAACTCTATTCTGATTCAAATATTATTCCCCAACTAAATTAGTTTGTAATCATACCTCGACATTTTGATGTAGGAATGACGCATGCGTCTTGTAACAGAAAACATATTCTATTTGATGCAACATGAGGGTCAAGTACTACACATCCCTTCTGCTCTTTACCGATGAACCGGTTCACTCGCTTACGTATGTATCTCTTCACATACCTGTGCTGCTTACACAACAACTCCCCCCTCTGAAATGATGTTCAGTAGGAGGACGCTAGTCACAGGGAGAATAATGAATTGCCTCTAAAGCAACCGTTGCCAGATGTTGTTCCTCCTAACAGCCAGGTGTGGGCAAATTGCATATGCAGGATGTGTGTAAAATATTTAAGGTTGTATCTTCCACTTAAGGTGTGAAGTGTTTTTATTGGCCATCACTGCTCTGTA